AAATAAATCACTTCACACATCTGAGTCTCAGTTTCCTCACCTATAAATTCCTGATGAAATAAAAATATTATTATTTTTAAGAATTAAATAAAGATAATCTATGTAGCACTCCAGACATGAAGCAGGTGCTCTATAAATTACATGTTCCTTTCTTCCTTCCCTCTCCTGATCCTGTTTGACCAAGGTGCCCGCATCTGAGAGGAGATCTAACCTGCTCTGACACATCCATCTTCACCACTTCAAATACATACCCCTATGAGCTAGTGAGCTGAAGAAGGGTCAAGCATACAGTCACAGCAAAGTAAGGCTTTAATATGTCCAAAACTAAACTGCCTCCAGTTTCTGGAACTCAGTTCCAAAGATGAACAAACTGTTCCTACCTTGCAATATACCTGGAGTTTCCACTACTGCTCCAGGACTTCCAGGACCTTTCTTCACCCCTCCACACCACCCCTTTTCACAGACCTCAAAGAGATGAGCCACACTAGAATCAGTATCTCAGAATGCAAAAGCCCAACATTTAACCTGGATAAACCCTGTTTACACACTGCAAAAACATAAAAGAAGACTATAGCTTGGTGTTCCTGTCACCTACTTAGACTCTCTGCAAAGTTCAGAACAAGACAAAGAGAGAGATGGAATCACCACACTCTTACAGTGCCCTTTCCTCCATAGCAAAGTCCAACTCCCTGCCCCCCCCACCCCCCCACCCAGATTTATTTTCAGGCTCAACCACAGGGTAAAAAGGAGAATGAGGAGCTAATCTTTCAGACCCACAAATGATGAAGGTCAGACACTCATCTTAGGGCCCAAAATACACCTCTTAAAAGGCACATAGCAAAGGTTTCACTGACCTTGGAACAGCAGACACAGGGAAGGAAGTGGCTCAGCCTCACTTATGAACCTTTGCCCTGGGAGAGGTAAAGAGGAGGGAGCTGGGGGCAAGGATATACAACACCTACATCACACAGGGAGAGACCAAAATGACCTTCCAAGAACAGGTCAGGAAAGTCTTGAGGCTTATCTCTCCCTACAATAGCTCTTCCTAGGCAAGAAGACTGATAACTGACATAAGAGGCATGAACCGGCTGTTCCCTCCTAAATATTGAGAGTAGAGAGACCTGATTAAAACCTCACAGGAATACAAAAGGAAAAACAAAAACAAAAAACCAACCACCTAATAGGAACCTACAAATCTAAAGTTCTGCTCACACATGTCTTCCCTGCTTTTATATCCCTCAGACAAATGGTGTATCAGGATATGGTCCCAATTCTCTCGCTCTCTTCCCCCCAATACCTCCTCTGCCTCTTGCAAGGATCTCCCCACCTGACTCCAGCAGAGTCCTTATAATTCACAAAGTGAACCTCTATCACACAATGACTCTCCCTTACAACAATGAATTCTCATGTGACACATGGTTATCTCTAATCCTGTGTGTAAGGGTGACAAAGTAAATGTCAAAGAGAAGGTGAAACTGAACTAGATCCTAAAGAACAAGGAAAGTTTAGTGGACAGAAAAGAAAAGGCATTCCTAGTAGAGGAAACAGCTATTGAAAAAATTTCAAGACTCAAAAAAAGTAACATGTTTCTAGGGAACTATGAACTATTTATTCAAGCTAGAACACAGAGTAGGGAGTGGCAAGAGATGAGGCTGGAGAGGTGAGTTGAGGCCAAATGACGCCATATTAAGGAATTTTGGAAGTTGTCCTACAGGACACAAAGAGCCAAAATTTTTTAAGCGGGGAGTTCTATGATCAGATTTGTATTTTTAGAAAGATCATTCTAGGGATGCACTAGAAAACAGCAAGTTTTAAGGCAGGAGACAAAAGAAATCAGATGAGAGACAAGGATGAGCTAAACTAAAGCTTTAACAGTGAAGATATGACAATGGAGATGAAGAGAAGAGAGATAACATGGAAATCAAGGAGCAGAAAGAATGTAAGATGACACTGAAATCTTTGACTGGATTGAGATAGGACATATGGGTGCAAAAGTGGGCTTTCTGGACAAAGACAATGAGTTCTGTTTTGGACATGTTAATTTTGAGATACCTGCGGAAATATATAGTAGATCACTGGATATACATGGTTGAAACAAAAGGAGAGACTGAGACTAGACACAGAGATGTAGCCACCTCACTATGATATATTTTTATATTTCACATTCTTTCTCTAAATTGAAATTATCTTTTCATGTGTATTTCTCTCCCATTCTGACTAAGAATTCCATGATCAGAGGACCATGTCATATTTATCTTGTTATCCCATAAAATGTGAGCATCACAAAGACAGAATATATGCTCAACAAGAATTTGCTGAATGAATAAATGAATATATGGATGAATGAATTTATTCTTCCAGCACTTAGCAGAGTACCTGGCACATAGCAAATAGGAACAAATGACTACACACAGTACCACAAACACGTTTCTATCTCTATATCATCTTCCTCATCTATGTTTAATCCTCTCAGACCTACCACTCAGCTATACGACATAAATCAAAATCCTTTATACTCAACATGCTACTATTTCTACAAAGAATTCAGTATAGCAAGCAATGAGCTTACAAAGTCCAAGGCTTTCTCCAGTATAACCAAAAATTTGGACAGTCCCTAAGAACCCTCTGGCATGTGCCTTGACTTATCCTATCATTATCATCATGTGATCCATTATAAGATGTGATCCAGGTATTATATATATTTGTTCCTATTTCATTGTCACAGTATTAAACATAACATTCATCCCCATGACACCCTCAAAGTCCCTTTAATCCCTTTTGGGGAACAGAACAATTAGAAATCATAAAAAATGCTTCTTGCCAGCATAAGGTCCTCCATCTCATCACAACCCTTCCTACACATCACATGCCTTTTGCCCCACATCACCTTCACTCTCTGTTGCAAAGCTTCTTTCCCCAAGTCACTCTCATTCTCAGGAGACTAAATTTCAGGTCCAGTTTTGCCACTTTATCCCTATGTGACCTCTGGCTTCTAAATTTGATTCTTCATCTATAAAGTAAGAATTCCTACTTTTGCTTACTTCACAGGTATCTATGCAAGTCCAGTAAGATTTGAAATTGCTATGTAAAGCATGAATGCTATTCAGATATCAGAAGTTATACACAATTATTGCATAGATGCATGCTTCCTCAACCTAATACAACAGCCACACCATCATCACTCTAAATTTCTGGGACTTCATGAACCAGAAAAAATAATTTTTAAAAAATTAAAAATAGTGTTGTCACTTTTTATTTTGACAAATAGGACCATTTTTTTAAAAACCCACCATCTACTGTCACCCTTTATGAGTGAAAAAGCACTTCAACACCTAAAGAGCAGGAATGTTAATTTCAGAATAAATTTATCTTTATGAAAAACTCACTATGCTGTCTACTTCTCTCCTTCCACCTTGGATGGATATAAACTTTATAACTGGACTAGATCCTTGACCCAATGTTTAAGACCCACTGCTCTAAACCCTGTATTATACATGTAAGTCCTATAGGGTTCTGACTGTCTAGGCAGGCTGCCAGGGGTTCCACCAGTATGAAGTCTTGTTTAGCCTCCAGAGAAAAGCAATGAAAATATGCCACAGGAAAGAATAGTTGGTCCTGAGGCTGAGACTCTGTACCAGAATGGGATTAAGGCTGCCCCTAAGTCTCAGGAAATGGTCTGGATAGGAAAGGCCTAACTCTTCCTGAGGCTGGGGAGAGTCAAGATGTCTCGGCTCCATCGGAGACTGTCAGCAGAGAGGAAAACTTAGTGAAAAGTGGCCCTTATCACTGAGTGTCAACCCAACTTTCCAGAATTTTCAAAATTTCCATGTGCATGTGGGTTGGTGGGGAGAAGGGGACCTATAAAACACTGATAAAGTAAACCCAATTACAGAGTGTGGAAGAAGGGATGAATTGCAAAGGGACAGGAGAAAACTTTTGGGGGTGGTAGAAATGTTCAGTATATTGAGAGTGATGATGGTTTCACAGATGTGTACGTGTACATTTTAAATAGGAGCAGTTTATTCTACATACATTTACCTCCATGTGTTTTTTTTAAAAGTTAACTGTAAGAAAAGAAGAGCAAAGCCGCCCAGTTGGGGAACCTAAACATAATGTTGTACATAATAAACTATGTGACCTCCATGAAAGCAGAATTAGCAACTGGAAGTGGTCAGTCCAATACAGATGACAACCATCAAAGACAAACAGTTCGGCAGAGGTAAGGAGCAGCAGTGAAGTAAAGTTACCCACAAGCAGGTGGACATAAAACAAACATAAGTAGTCATGGCCAAAAAGCCTTCATGAGAGGGCCCCCCTTCAAGTTTGCAGTCCAAAGGAGGAATGTGATAAGAAATGGAGTTCTAGTGATTACTCTGTTGAAAATTAAGCCTCAGAAATAATGTTCACTATCTCAGTTACTATTGCCCACGATGCCTTCATTTTTTTATCCTCCAAAATAGATAGAGTACAGGGGTGCACGACAACCAAACGCACAACACTTCTACCCAAGCTGTCCTAGTTTGTCTAAACCTACTGCTTTCACTGGACAGGACAGTCCATCGATGGAGGCCTCAGAATCAACCTCTCAGCCTTATCCAAGTCCCACAAATCTCATTCCCTCCTCCCATGCCCTGCCTTCAACTCCCTCACTAATCCACCGCCACCCCGCAGGCTCCTGCCTTCACCCTTTACTCTCCCCCTCATATCTGGTCCCAGGGCTGTCCCTCACCCCTGCCCCTTAGTAAACCGTGTTCATGAGTCCCTTCAACTTGGCCATCAGAAAGCACCCCAGCTCCTCCTACACCCAGCCCCTTACTTGTCCTCTCACCCCTAGGCTCTCTGTTCCCCTACCTTGGACACTCACACCCGGCCCCTCACCACCTGCCAGCCCCTCACCACATCCCCTCACCACCAGTACAATCACCAAACCTGGTGCCTTCCTTCCTCAGCCCCTCAGCCCGCCCCCACGCGCCTCTCCCGGCCCTTTGGCCCATGAGTACCGTTCATTCACAGAACGCCGACCCTGGCTAGGCCCTGCCGTCTCGGCAGTGCTAAGTGAGTTCAGGCCGCCGCCATCGCTCCTGAGGCGCACCGGCCGCGCCCCGCCCCGCGCCACACGCAGCCCACGCCCCCGCGCACTACACGTAACCGCCCAACGTTGCACGACTGGGCAACGGCGCGCCAGCTCATTGGCTGGGTCCAGCCAAAGCCGGAGCGTTGACGCTTGTTACCTGGCAACGGCCGAGTGCAGAGGCGGGTCGACGACGACATTCCTCAGGAAGAGAACCGCCTCTCCTCCAGGTTCCGCTCCTTGGTACTGTAAACCCCACCCCTTAGGAGGACTCCGGCGTGTCATAGGGGAAGACCTCTGGGGAGGCGGAGGCCCGCGGAGCGGGGGCGGAGCCGGGGAAGAAAAGGTCGAACCAGAGGGCAGTGGGTGGGACCTAGGAAGGGAGGCGACTTTTAGAGGCATGGAAAGACTAAAAGGCGGGGCTTAGGAGAAAGGTGGGGCGGAGAGACCAGGGCGAAAGGGGCGGGGCCAAGGGTCCTGGGCGAAGCTGAGTGGAGCAGTGGGCGCAGAAGGGGCGTGGCTAGCACGAAAGGATAGGTGTGAGGGGAGCGGTCAGCAGGTGGGCAGGGTCTGTGGAAAGGCGGCGTCCTACTGATGGCTGACTGAGAACAATCTAGTTCTTTATTGGCCCACCTGCGCGCATCGCTTAGGCTTCTACCTTAATAAACCGTGTTATGACCGCCCCTCTCTTGCCTCCTCCAACACCTATGAGCTGTGTTGCTCCGTGACCCGTTGGGCGCTGTCTTCGTCAAGGAACACGGAAAAGTGCCCAGGTGTCAGGCTGGATCCCAGATCAGTTAGAACCTATCTCTGCCCTCCAGGACCTCAGCCCTTTAACCAGACACAGACAATTGCAACGTAGTGTAATAAGAGCTATAGTAGGGGGATCATCTAGGGAGCAGCACTTAGTATGAGTTGTGTGTGTAGAGTATGAGAGAAAGGAAGGGAGAAGGGGCTTAGGAAAGACTTCCATGAGGAAAAGCTGTCTCAGCCGAGTCGTGGGAAACAAGCAAGAGAAAGATAAACTAAAATAAATGGAAGTTTCAAATATTTTAAAGTATTGTACCGATGTTACATACCTGGTTTTGATCATTGTACTATGGTTACGGAAGATGTTAACATTAGGGGAACATGGGTAAAGAGTTTACTAGAACTTTCTGTGTTATTTTTGCAACTTTTGTGTAAGTCTAACATTAGTTCAAAATAAAAACTATTTAAAAATAAAAAGAAATGGAAGTCTCAGCCCAAAGAATTAAAATATACCAAGGCAAGAAAGAGTGGACAACATGCAGGAGGTGCTCTGGAAACTGCCGTCAGTACAGTGTGTCGGGAGCCTAAGGAACATGCATAGGAAACTTTGTGAGATGAGGCTGAAGACACGGACAGACATGAGGTACTGGAGAGTTTTGTAGGCCATGATAAGGAGTTTAGATTTTATCATGGTGAGGCCTTTGCAAAAGACCAGACAAGAGCTGATAAGGCCCAAACTAGAGTAGTAAGAATGCAGAGAAGTGGACATGTGGACAATAGAAGATAGATCCAGGGCTTGATGAGCGGGTGCGTATGAAAGGAAAATAACAAGAAAGGATTAAAAGCTGATGCTTAGCTTATATCGAGTCAAAAACAGGCAAAACTAAACTATAGTATTAGAAAACAGGACAGTGATTACCCTTGGAAAAGCACTGACTGGAAGGGGGTATAGTAAGGCTCTTTAAACACTGGTAATGTTCTGTTTCTTGATCTGATTGCTGGTAACATGGGCGTGTTCACTTTGTGAAAATTTATCAAGACATTAGGAATTGTGCACCTTTCTATGTTTGTCCTGGCTACTGTGCTGTGTAATGAACCACCCCAAACTTAGTGTCATAAAACAGTCCTCTTATTATGCTGACAGATTCTGGGAATTTGGACAAGACAGAAGGAATGGCTTGTGTCTGTTCCATGATGTTTGGGGCTTCATCTAGGAAGCTCAAATGCCTAGGGCTGACTTGAGGCTGGTGGCTGGAACCATCTGGAGACTTCTTCAGTCATATGTCTAATGTCTGGGCTGGGACAACTCAAAGGCTGAACTCAGCTGGGACTGTCAAACAGAGCTTCTCACAATGTGGTGGCTAGGTTTCAAGAGGAAGCATCCCTAGAGGGAGCTACCAGACAACAAGCATGCCACAAGCACCAGAAAGAAGCTGCATGGCCTTCTGTGATATAGCCTCAGAAGTCACAAAACCACTCCTGCTATACTCTATTGTTGAAATAGTCACAAGGGAGCAGCATCAAAGAATTTGTGGCCATTGTTTAAAATGGCCACAATGTCATACAATAAAAATAATAAATACTGATCATAGGTTTTTGGCTGAGAGGATAGATATGAGGATTATAGGAGAAAGAGTAGATGAGGGAAGATAATGAGCTCAGTTATTGACACCATGGGTTGAAGGTGACTGGGATATCCAAATGGGGACATCCAGTGAACAGTTAGTCATGTAGATAATTGCAGCTCAGGGAGAGTTTGGGGGAGCCATTAGATGGGAAAGGAAATCCTGTATGACCTGGATCAGCCAGAAAGAATCACGAGGATGGAATGAAAAGAAAGCCTAAAACAGAGTCCTAAGAAAACATCAACATAGAAGGGATGGGCAGATGACCTTATGAAAGAGACTAAAGAGAAATTTTTTTAAAAAATTATGATGTCACAGAAGTCATGGGAAAAGAGAGTTTCAAAAAAAATGAATTGGGGGCTACAAGTGTTTCTTCCAAGAAACTCTCCAATATACAAATCTGACCCTATTGCTTAATGTACAAAATCCTTTGGGTAAAATCAAGCCTTCAGGTAAAATCCAAGCTTTATAATGTGGCCAACAAAACTCTCCCTGAGTTGGCCTCTGTTCATCATTCAGCCTTATCTCTCACCACTACCCTCCTCCCAGGTCCTCTAAAAAAAACCAACTAACATTCTCCCAGTCACTCTTGACTTCTGATGCCTCCATGCCTTTGTGCACCCTCCCTCTAGTGCTTTTCACCCTCCTATCTCTATACCTAACTCCTATTCATCCTATAGAACCCAGGCTCAGTTGAGACCCTTCCTATGTACTGTAACAGCCCTCTGTGTACCCATCTAATAGAGTATTCATCAGTACCCTGGCAATGACCACCCCTGTGTAATTACCTGATGTGTAATTTCCTGTCAGCCTATTTCTCCTACCAGATGATGAACTTCTACAGGACAGGGAATATGTCTCATTTGTCTTTTACCCCCAATACTTAGCACAATATTGGCCTGGCACATAGCAGGTGTTCTGATGTTGATTTGTGGACTAAAAAACATGATAGTAGTAAAGGAGACAATAGGTTAAGGGAGAATTTATAGCGGTTCTTTTTGTTGTTTGGGTATAGGATATTTAAGCATCTACACAGAAAGTGAAAAATTGAAAAGATTGAGGATCCAAAAAACACACAGAATAGCTGGTGAGATCAGGCATTAGCAGGAACAGGAAGGAAATGACAAAAGCGCCATAGGATAACCTCCATCACATCATCCAGCAGGAAGAAGGTAAAGTAGACGTGGATGTAGATAAGGGTGCAGGTAATGAAAACCGAACAGAGCTCATGTCTGATGTGAGAGGCATCTCTTTGTCTCTGGAGACTAGTTTAGCACCTGACACAGATGAGCTATTCAGTAAATAGTTGTTAAATAAGTAAGGCCCAAGCAGAGAACTTACACAAGGTAAAACCGAGTGTGTCTCTGAGTCTACACTGGAACCCAGATCTACTGACCTAGAGGGCCCGTATGTAGCTCAGCTGGGGGTGGAAGGAGGAGAAGAGGAAGACAGAAAGGCCCAGGCTTCTCTCTGAAGCATACACCCCCCCCCCCCCCCCTTCTTTGTTTATTCTTTGCTGTTTAACTTTTTGCAATTCGTCTTTATTTTTCAATAGTCTAAGACAAGATAATAAAAACCTTCTGTGGTTTCAGTTTATTCCTTTCAAAAATGTAACTCGAGGAAGAGAGAAATACAAAGTTATTTTAAAAGTCATCTTATATATTTTCTATCAGTCCTGGTTTTGCTTTTAAGTCACATATTTTATTTTTTAAAAATGTATTACATGATTTAAGCTTTCTTATTAAAGTCTTTGCTTGGGATTTGTTATTCTAAACTTAGCAGACACCCCCCCCCCACACACACACACACATTCTCCAGAGACCTCATTAGAGATGTTTAGCTGATCAGGTGTAAACCCAGGCCCTGGGAGACAGTGCAGGGTGCTGCAGCTACTGCCTCTGTCCCCTCAGTAGCAGCTAGCTTTGGTTGTGTTGCTAAGAGCTTCAAAGAGAAGTCACAGCTGGAGCCCAAGGGCAGCCTCTTGCAGTCAGTCAAGCACTAGCCATCACTTCCCAAAACTGCCTACAGGCCGAGAAGCCCTGGATGTCTCACACTTCAGCACCAGGCCACAGAACCATGAGCAAGAACAGCAAAGTGAAGACAACAGAGTCCAGCCCCTCTGCCCCATCTAAGGCCAGGTGAGGAGTTCTGGTTCCCTGTGTCTGATCTGTCCACTTTACTTGATGGAGCTTCGTTCCTCTTGGTGCCCACACTCACAGCCACAGCTTTGAAATGTCTGATGAATAAATGAAGGAAGACTTCTCCTCTTGCCCATAGGAAGTCTGTGCCTGTCCTGGACCCATCTGGGGATTACTACTACTGGTGGCTGAACACAATGGTCTTCCCAGTAATGTATAACCTCATCATCGTTGTGTGCAGGTTTGGCAGGGGCACTAAGGGAGGGGCCTTAAGCGAGGATGGAGGCTAAACAGTGAGGCCAAGGAGAGGGGTAGCTCTTGGGTGGGGCCCAAAGGACGGGTGACGCCCACGGGAGAGCCCAAGGCAGAGTTCTGAGGGGCCTGGGGAGATTGCATCTCACACACAGGGTGCCCTTAAGCCCATCCTTTCTATCATCGCCCTGCAGAGCCTGCTTTCCCGACTTGCAGCACGGTTATCTGGTAGCCTGGTTGGTGCTGGACTACACAAGCGACCTGCTGTACCTATTGGACATCGTGGTGCGCTTCCACACAGGTCAGTGAGCCCCTAGAACTGACCTTTGTTC